AGTAATTTTTCATTCACCACAAAATTGGTCTAATCCAAAATCATTTATATATACTCAATTAGACCGTACAATAACATTGATAAAAAATTGTTCATGACTCAATTTTTAACCAATTTTCCCAACAGTTTCTGCGGCTAATAAAAACGAAAATAAAGATTCTATAAACAAGAGCCAGTTTATTTCTTTGTTTTCTATTAATTACCTTTAAAACAAATTCTTGCAGGTTAAGAGATGCCCTGATCAACCAAGTCAGTTCTATGAGACTACCTTCACCCTTAGTCCAATATTCAATCTCTAGCTTCTTCAACCTAGGCAATTCAGGAAATGAATGTTGCGAAAGACTCGCATATTACGGGATCAACACGAATCTAGTCAACTATCTAAAAATCCAGCGCGGCAGTTAACAATGTCACAAACTGGTCGGGAACTTGCTACGTCACACCATTACTCGGAGCTTTTCTTGCCGACGCGTACTTAGGAAGATACTGGACCATCGCCACTTTCTCCACCATCTACGTATTCGTAAGTCTCCCTAAATTTCTTCCATGCATACTACACATGAATAAATAAATAAACAAAATCCGAGTTGTTTTTTGAGTTTATTGCAATTACTATCCCTGTGAAAATCGCAACTGCGTGTTTCCCCCCTATCATAAAAAAATTAGCAAATACCCCCCTGTATTTAGTTTTAGATAGCATACTCGACCCATTTTCCTTTTTCTTGTTGACCGGTTGTGAAAAGACAGGAATACCCTGGGGAGATTCCTGCAAAAAACCTTGGAGACCAAATTGAATTAGTGAAAAATTGTAGAAACTTAATCAAATAATAAGTTAGGGGACTGAATTGTAATTTTTAGGAAAACACATAATATTTATAAAATTGTGGGGCTGAAAACACTATTTTGGAGCTGAATTAAAATTTAAAATTATTTAGAAACTGAAAAATAATTAGAAATGTAAATTAGTATTATAATTAGTCGTTTAATAATATTAAGTACAAATATTAAAACATAAACAAAGAAAATTCCTATACAAATAAACATAAATCGAACTCAATTTAAATATAAATAATTCAAAACATTGGATCAAATTGCAATTTTTAAAATTTCTTTAACTAAATGAAAATAACACGTTTTTTTATGGAAAAAGAAGAGGAAAAAAGGGGGAAAAAAACATCGTCTTCCCCAAATTTCTTAATCCCTATTAAAATTGCCACCACTACCACCAAATTCCCACCACCACCACCGGCAATCACCTCATTATGCCGCCGCCTCCAACCTGAGAGAAGAACATGTCTTCCCCTAATTTCTTCTTATTCCCCATTGAAATCGCCACCACCACCACCTCCGGCAGTCACCTCTTCACGCCGGCACCTCCGCCGGCCCCACCTCTTTCCTTCCACAACATGTCTCTTCCACTCTTCTTGCCGCAGACTTCACCTCGCTGCGCCTCCAATTCCACCGCCAACTTCACCTCGCTGCGCCTCCCATTCCACCTTCCGCTTTCACCAGAGTTTCCTCCTCTCCGCCGTCGCCTACGGCGGCGAGGAGCTGCAGAAATTGAGCGGCTGGTGAGCTTTGTCGGAACTCGGAAGTGAGTTTGCAGGTGAAGTTGAGAAAAATTGACGAAGAGGAGAGGTGTTTGGCGCCCCACAAACCCGATTATGCCGTGAGAGAGTGGTGTGTATATTGCCGCACAGAGTGGTGGCGGTTTGGTGTCCTCAGCCGTGGACAAATGGTGGGGCACGGTGGTGGTTTTATTTGAGAATATTTAATTTCTTTTTTAATTTATTACTTATTAAAAAAAGGAAAAAGGAAAAAAAGAAAAAAATAAGTTGGGGGCAATTTTGTCATTTCCTGCAACATAAAGGAAGAAAAATTGCAGAAACCTCGCGTGAGACACACGGTTTGCGACCAGGGGGATTTTCGCCTTTGACTAATAAATACATGGGGTTATTTGTTAATTTTTTTATGATAGGGGGGAAACACGCAGTTGTGATTTTCACAGGGGTAGTAATTGCAATAAGCTCGTTGTTTTTTCAACCTTTTGTTACAGGGAATGACAGTTTTGACCTTATCAGCCTCTGTAAACGGCCTAAAACCTATCTGCGACGACAAAAACGTGTGCGGTCCAAACGGGCTTCAAAAGGCCGTTTTCTACACGGGCCTTTACTTGATCGCGCTAGGCACCGGCGGAATCAAGCCATGCGTTTCCTCTTTCGGTGCGGATCAATTCGACGATTCGGACGAGTCGGAGAAGAAGAGCAAGAGTTCTTTCTTCAACTGGTTTTATTTATCTATAAATATAGGGGCGCTTATCGTGGCGACCGTGCTTGTTTGGATACAAACGAACGTCGGGTGGGGGTGGGGGTTCGGCATACCGGCGGTGGCCATGGCTTTGGCTGTCGTCAGCTTCTTTTACGGCACGCGCCTTTATAGGAAACAAAGGCCCGGCGGGAGCCCGTTGACTCGGATTTGCGAGGTCATCGTTGCTTCTTTTAGAAAAGTCGGTGTGGATGTGCCTAATGATAAATTTGATCTTTATGAAACTGAGGAAGAACATGAATCTGCAGTTAAGGGGAGTAGGAAACTTGAACACACAATAATTATTAGGGTTTTAAATTCTCAAAATATTTATTTTATATATAAAAGAAAAAAACGCTAATGCAACCTTAAGAATCCAAGGAAATTTTTGAAAAAAATTTCTCTACTAAATTTTTAATTATATTTTTTCTTTGTTTTTTTCGTTCTTATCTCAGTTGCTACGATTTGCATCTTTCTTTATTATTCAACTTTCCTTTAAGTGGCATCTTACAAAATAATTTCCTTTTTCTATTTTTTTTCTCTACGAATTTTAATTATTTTAATTATTATTAGTATTTTTTCTGTATTAATTGATTCATCTGTACACAATCAGTTTCATATTAGGAAAATTGAGTTTATATAATACGTTGTTGAATAGGTTTATATTATCAAATTTGTATGAATGTTGACGTTGTTACTTCTTACTGTAATTTAAATATCACTAATAAATTTTATTATTATATTTTATTATAATTGTTATTGTCACGAATGAAATTAAAAATTTCTATATGTTGGTATGTTTATTTACCTAATTGCCCCTGATCTGTTATGTTCGTGGGCCAACTGATTCAGTTTCTTCGACAAGGCAGCAGTAGAGACACAATCAGACCGGAAAAATGGGTCGAAAATTAATCCATGGAGACTCTGCACCATAACTCAGGTCGAAGAACTCAAGGCCATAATAAACCTTCTTCCGATATGGGCAACCGGAATCATTTTCAGCGCGGTGTACAGCCAAGTGGGCGCACTCTTCGTTCTACAAGGAAACACAATGAATCTCCACGTCATCAAATCCTTCGAGATCCCATCCGCCACTCTCTCTCTATTCGACACGGTCAGCGTCATCTTCTGGGTCCCGGTCTACGACAAGATCGTCGTACCCTTCGCCCGAAAGTACACCGGCAACAAAAACGGGTTCACCCAGCTCCAGAGAATGGCGATCGGGCTCGTCATCTCGATCTTCGCCATGGCTATAGCTGGAACACTCGAAATGATTAGATTGAATATGGTGAGAGAGAATGACTATTATGAATTTAAGCACGTGCCGTTATCTATATTCTGGCAGGTGCCTCAGTATTTCGTGATTGGGTGCGCGGAGGTTTTCACGTTCATCGGGCAGCTCGAGTTTTTCTACGAGCAGGCCCCCGATGCGATGAGGAGCTTGTGCTCGGCGTTGTCGCTAACAACGGCGGCGTTTGTGAATTATTTGAGTACTTTGCTTGTGAGTATTGTGGTGCACGTTAGCACGAGAATGGTGGGCCCAGATGGATTCCTGATAATTTAAATTATGGTAGGCTTGATTATTTTTTCTGACTTTTGGCGGTACTTAGTGTGTTCAATTTAGGGGTTTATTTGTTAGTGGCAAAATGGTATACTTATAAGAAGGCATTAGGCACAAGTGAGTGATACATACGTACACCATGAGTATTCCAATTTTGAGCTGCGCACTTTGTTTAATTTTATTAATGTTCTTTTGATTAGTAATAATTGATTTTTTTCAATTCTTGTTTGATCAAGTTCAAATGCCATTTACCAATTACATGTTTAGATAAGACTAAACAAATGTGATTATGGAATAGAGAATCGAATTAATAGTGGATAAGTAGAGTGTTTGGGTGTATTAAATTTAATACAAGTTTTTTAAGCTTTTTTTAATTACTACGACGATCGGGTCAAGGCAGCATGTATAGAAGAATTATACTAGCAAACCAAGCTCAAACGGAGCTGTTAAATGTCGAGTAGATTTATTGGATTTTCAATCAGCCCATAACGAAAAAACACCTCCATAGGTAAAATTAGGGATGTTAAATCGGTAAAATCGAAATTTCGCTATGCCAACATTTCATACAGTTTATCGAACTAAAAATAAGATTTGGTTCGGGGAATAACCGAATCATATAATTTATTTTGGAAAAATATTTAAAAGAAAGGTGGCTGTAATTATCCAAATAAGAGAGATCTTTTCGTAATTTGATATAACTCTTGGCCCATGGTGGTAATTTACCATATATATATATATTTATAACTTAAAAAAAAAAGTCCTTAATTTGAGAACTTAGATTACCTTCGTCTTCTTCCTCTAATGGTGTAGGGTTTGTTGTGATTTCTCAAAGCCTGACTCAATTGAAAGATAATACTTTTAGCGCCTCACTTTTCGATTTCCAGATTTCCAAAGATGGTGGGGAAGCCGGTCGGCATTGATTGTAAAATTCTTCCCAAGGAGGTGAGTTCTCAGAAAAGCTGTTGCCCTTTTTCAATCGAAAGATGAGGGTTTTATGTTTCCCCTATCAATGTTATATGTTGATTGAACCATGGGTTTTGTTTTGTTTTCTGATGATTTTTTATTTATTTTTTATTATCCAAACTGAACCGGAGTTAGAAAATTAAACTTGTATTTCGAATTTAGATTGTTGTGTTAGTCCGTCGTCTTTAGGGTTTAAAAGATTTATTAGCCCCTATTGTGTTTACTCATTACTGTAATGTTTTTCTTAAGATCCAATGGATTATATTATCATACTTTATTATTATTTTTTCTTAATTTGATAGTGTTCTAGTAAGGGATACACGGGGGGTGATGATGATGATCGGATAAGTGAGTTGCCGGATGATGTTCTTGTTGTTATATTGTCTTTGTTATCGGTAAAGGAAGCTGCAAGTACGAGTATTCTTTGTTCGCGGTGGATAAACTTGTGGAAACACACCAATTCTCTCGACTTTGATGGAGACGCTGCGCTGTACAAGACTGCAAGGCTAAAGAAGGAGTTACAGTTCAACGAGAGGCGCAAGTATGTGAGATGGGTGAACTCTATTATCCAATCGCACAAATCTCACACCATTCAAAAGCTTAGAATCCAATTTTTTTTAAGAAAAGAAGAGGCAGATACACTCACTAAGTGGTTTGAATATGCGTTTTCCAGACAAGTTCCGTCGTTGGAGATTGACCTTTCACCACCAAATTTTATCTTTTTCGGCAGCCCTGGCCCAAATTATGTTTTCCCTCAAGAGTTCACCAACTCAGCCACTTGTTTCGATTTAAAACACCTCAAAGCATTGTCTTTGAAATTTGTTACCGTCACTCGCGAAGCTATTGAGTTCTTTTTGAATAATTGCCCATTCCTTGAAAAATTTATTGTCCATCAAACAGAAAGCATGTCAAAGCTTGAAATTTGTGGTTCATCCCTCGCTTTAAAACACTTGGAGCTTTGCTACTTCTTCGGTTTGGATTCGGTTAGGATTTCAGCACCAAATCTTACTTCACTCACAATTAGGGTATTTTCGGAACTCATACTTGAGAATGTCCCAATGCTTGATGAATTGCGTGTTGGTTGCGGTTATAGTGATTTTTCTGTTAAGAAGTTACTTCCTGCATATTCTGCCTACATTTCACAGTTGAAGAGTCTTACCCTACTTCTCAACAACTTAAAGGTTAAACAATTCAATTTATTTTTTTCTTTTTTGGTAATCATCTCTGTTTTTATTTACTTACGCATTATAAAAACTCAACTTCGTTTGGGTTTTACAGGGAAGTACAGATCTGTGCAAGTTTCCCGAAATGCCTAAGTTGAAGAAGTTGGTAATAGCCTATTGCTCAGTGGGTGAAGATAGTCTCCTACCATTGACTTCTTTGATAAGGGCATCTACTCGTCTACACGAATTTGTTTTAAAGGCAATTTCTCACCTTAGTTGTTTTTGTTTTGGTTTTGGTCTGTCATCTCTTTGGCATATAAAACAAGAACTTATGACCTAGTTATAACATGTTTATCTTCTTGCAACAACTTATCTTGTTTTGTTTTGTTTCAATGAAATGCAGCTCGACTGGTATCAACTTTCAAGGTCATATAGAGAAATCGAGACTAGTGTAAGGTTTCCACATGGGACACGAGTCGCAGTAATTTGAAAATACTTATAACGGATAAAGAAACGTACTTCAAATGTTACAAAAAATAACGTTTAGAGAGAAACATTTCAAAATTTTAGAAATCTTATTATTTATAATTTGTTAGGATTTAATATATATATTCTTGTTTTTTTTTTAATTATTATTTCGTATAATATTGAAAGATGAAGGTCAGTTAATAAGATCCATGGCATTGAATATACTTCTTAGAAGCACGTTGGAAATATTTCATCTAAAAATATATATATTTATCGTAGATATTTTTTCATAATTACATTAACTTTAAAATGATATGGTATTACTGGTTGCATCGACTTTGTTCACATGCTTGGTAAACAACTAAAATTTTCTTCATTAAAATTAGATGAATCATGACATCTTCATACTAATATTTTTCCTACGTTTCCGTAAATCTTTACCACCAGAGAAATTAGTCGAGGAACGAACTTCACGAGCTTATGCCAAGCTACAACTTGAAGCACAAGTACCTCAACACATTGAATTGGTTATTCTTTAAATTACAAACACCCCCCTGAGGTATGTTCAAATTACAAAAATCCCCCTCTTGTTTGGATAATTACATCTACCCCCTCAACTATGATTTTTTCTTACACCTCCACCCTTAATGTGCCAAATTCAACATAATCATCTAGATTCCGTGGAATGTGCTCTAGTTTGTACTCGTTTTGTGTAAAAATAAAGTTTTCGATGCACCAAAAACTGATATATACAAGCTAAAAATCACATATTATGATCATCTTGCTTCATAATGTAGAGTTTGAATGGGATAAAACGGGTACATAAGTGATAATATTTCACATAATCTCAAAAATTCCACTAAATTTGAGGAGTTGAGGGGGTGGTTGTAATTATCCAAACAAGAGGGGTGTTTTTGTAATTTGACCATACCTAGGGGGTGTTTGTAATTTACCCTTAACTTAATTTATATAGGCATTAGTATATTTGTGTCGGTTACATAATATGCTTGGTGTTTGCAAAAACTTTTTGAAAGTGAATATAAGTTTTTTTTTGTTCATAATTTGTTTTTAGATGTTTGTAAAATTAACCTTTTTTTTTTGTTTCTCTTAAAATAATTTGCTTTAAGCTATTTTTTTTAAAGCACCCATAACCCTGCTTTTTCTATTTAAGATTATTTTCTGGAATATTTGCAAACACCCCAACTTTTAGAAATAAACATTTAAAACTGATTTAAATCACAATTTCTAACTTTTGCTTTTAAATAATCATTTGCAAATACCACCTAATAAGTTCTTTTAGTTTGTTCCTAAATTTCAATATCATTTGACGTGGAAGATTATTTTTTTAATGATTTATTATTGATTAATCAACATAATTAAACAATTTTATTTTTTAATTCTGAACTTTTGACGTCTTTGACTTTTTTCTTTTGAAAATAAGAAAAGGAAGACGGTGACCAAAAACATTCCACCCCTAAAAATTTCCCATTTTTGCATTTTCCACCGAACAAATAAAAAAAAAAAAAAAAAAGTGTTTCTCCACCTTCCAAATTTTATTATAGTTACACTTCGTCCCGATTGACATTTTCCGACGTAGTTAGTGTTTTCTACTTAGACAAATTGTGATTGTTCATACTTATATATTAGTTATTATTAATTAGTAATTACCCCTGAAATTTATAAAGAAAAATAATGTATGTGAATGTGAGGCCCAATGAGGACTCCAAGAGCAACGCCCCAAAAAGGTATTGTTTCTTTGTCAAGTTCGTTAAACGAAGAAAATAAATTAAAACTTATAATTGGTTCTATTTAAGTTATATCAAATCTATAAAAGTAATCTTTCTATCATCACTAAAAATCATATGGAAAGTAAAAAGAAAAAAGAATTAAAAATAAAGCAGGGCCAAGATCCCTAATTGAAATACACCCCAGTTATCGTTTTTTGCTGCAGATTAGTTTTTGTCCAGCAATTGTGCGAGGTTTTTCTGTGTTCAAAGATTCGAGCTTGATGGTGGCGAAGCCAGTTGTAATTGATCGGAAATTCCAACCCAAGACGGTGAGCTCTCAAAAAATCTGTAATTCTCAACAGCTTTTTTTTCCCTTTTCAATTTTGGAAGTAGAAATTAATTGATAGTTAATATATAAGTTGTCAGTATGCTCAGCTCCTACTGTGTTTTTTATTTATTTATAGTAGAGTTAAGTTGAAGTTGTGAATTGTAATTTTACCTCAAATTGTTTATTAGATTTTTAATTGATAGTATCTTATTTTGGTGATAGTACTGTGTGGGTGATGATGATGATGATGATCGGATAAGTGAGTTGCCGGATGACATTCTTGTTGTTATATTGTCTTTGTTATCGTTAAAGGAAGCTGCACGTACGAGTATTCTTTGTTCGCGGTGGATTAACTTGTGGAAACACACCAATTCTCTCGACTTCGATGCAGAGGAAGCAATGTGCAAGCTTGCAAGGGCAAGGGCAAGGGAGTTAGAGGAGGAGGAGGGCCTCAAGTACATAGAATGGGTGAACTCCGTTCTGCAATCGCATAAAGCTGTCACCTTGAAAGAATTCAGAATATGTTTTGATTTAAGCGAACCATCTCAGATAGCAGTAACTACGTGGCTTGAATATGCGCTTGCCAGACGAGTTCAGAGGTTGGAGTTTGACCTTTCTGCTGCAAATTGCAGCCGTTATTTCCGTGCTGACTTAAATTATGTTTTCCCCCAAGAGTTACTGATGGAAAGCAATGGCGTGGGATCTACGTCGCCACCCCCTTCGGACACTTGTATCTTCAACCATCACCCTCGCACACGTTTCGATTTTAAGCACCTCAAAGCGTTGTCTTTGAAATTTGTTACTGTGACTCGTGAAGCTATTGAGTTCTTTTTAAATAATTGCCCATTGCTTGAAAAATTGGTCGTCCACAAAATAACAAAAATAACAAATCTTGAAATTTGTGGCTCATCCCTCGTCTTGAAGCACTTGGAGCTATGGTACTGTTTTGATTTGGATTCCGTTAAGGTTTCTGCACCAAATCTTACTTCACTCTCAGTTAATCTATTTAACGAACTCATACTTGAGAATGTTCCGATGCTTGATGAGTTGACTGTTTCTTGCGGTTACAGTGAGTTTTCTGTCGAAAAATTACTACTCTATTCCTGCATTTCACAACTAGAGAGTCTTCATCTGTTTCTGAACAAGTTGGAGGTTAGATAATTAAATTGTTTTCGTTATTCTCTATTGTGTTTATTTATGCATTATAAATACCTCTTTTCGTTTTACAGGGAAGTACGGTGCTGTGCAACTTTCCCGAAATGCCTAGGTTGAAGAAGCTAGTGATTGACTATTGGGCACACGGTGAAGAAAGTCTCATAGCACTGACTTCTTTGATCAGGGCATCTCCGTATCTGCAGCAATTTGTTTTAAAGGTAATTCCTCCTCACCGTAGTTGTTAACACAAAACAAAAGAAATAAAGTCATTGTTATTATTATTATTATTATTAGCGGAAACAAGTTACGTATTGTTTTGTTTTCCATGGAATGCAGTTAGGCTGGTTAGAAATTTCAAGGTCAGATAGAGAAGTCGAGAGTAATGTAAGGTTTCCTCACGAGCACCTTAAAGTGGTCAACTTTTGTGGCTATTATGGTCGCAGCAGCGATGTTGAATTTGTCAGGTACTTTATAGATAACTGCGTGGTGCTTGAGAGATTGATTATTGATCCACACACCGTAGTATATATTCCCCGTGTACCAATTCGCCCTCATATAGTAGCTGAGGAAATAATTGCGAGGGATTGCGCCAAGCGACAGCTTGAACCACAAGTGCCCGCGCACATTGAATTGGTTATTCTTTAATTAATTAATAGTTTGTGTCTGCAAGGTTTAAATTGAATTAATTTTTGAGGAATGACGATGATTAAGCAATTTAAGAATATTATGGTTATGGGCTGTGTTGGGCTGGTTCAAAGTTGAATTATAAAATGGCCCACTTATTTATCTGTCGGCCCATTTTTCGGTTGATTTCATTGAACCATCAGTAGAGAGAGCTTTTTTTTCTTTTTCTTTTTATACTAAAAATTATAAAATTCAGATAATTTTAAATATTTTTAATTAATTTTCAGTGAGTCGTTATATTTACTGATTGAGGTGATGTAATTATTGATTATAATTTTCTGCATTTCTAAAATTGAATTTACAATTTATTATTGCAAGATTTGGTGAATTGAACAACTCTGGACATAAATGATGAGTTGCTTGTTCTAGACTTGTTATATTCTTGGTTCTGAAAAAAGAAAAATCTATGAAATAAGTCAATTGAAGCACATGTTTAGGACCCATATCATTACAAAGTTCTTATAAAAAAAGAAAAAAAAAATTAAACACATTAATAACTCGTCTTATTTAATTAATATTTTAAGCAATAAATTAGGATTTCATACTATTATGAGTGTGGAAAGACTGCTGTTATTTCGACTAATTAAAGCCAGTAAGTACATTAATTAACCACATTATTACTATTATTAATTATAATAATACTTTTTTTGGGGGACATATATAGTCAAATCATATGTTAAAGAAGCCAAATATGAAGAAAATCGATTGAATACTCATTTTGGTAAAATTAATTTTTATGAACAATTTTTTTTTGGTGATGTAATGAAGACATCATCGATGGTAAAACAAAAGCAGAAAGACATACCTAAAAAGTCACCGGCCATGCAAAAGAAACGCATTCCAAAAGAGAAGATTGAATATTTTGTTTCATTTTCAGAGCTAATGTTATGCAAATTGAGCAGAAGTTAGCTCCAAAACACACACACACATGAAAAGTTTCTGAGAGAAAACTACCCCGACAAGGTTAGTGATCACATAAGGGAGATGACACTTGATCTGGCCGAGATACGCGCGGACGTTAATCAGAAGGCAGAAGAACTTGTATTCTTACACGACACGATTCCAGCTGAGGAATATGAAGATGCGGACAGCCTGAAGGTCCTGGAGAAGAAATTCCTCTTCAACGGAAAAGTTTCCGTGAGGAACGAAGACGTCAACTTTTCCGTTGAAGATGGAATTTCTTCTTCAGGACCTTCAGGCTGTCCACATCTTCATATTCCTCAGCTGGAATCGTGTCGTGGAAGAATACAAGTGCTTCT